CACTCTACCACCCCCTAACCCCACCATCCCGAGCCCTGCCCTTTGTCGTTGCTACCCTAGCCCCTAGACCTTCAACCTACCACCTTCTCCTGCCCTTACTTATTTTGTCTCTTATAGTGTTTGCCTAAATAATAACTTTAAAAAAGTATTTGTCTAACCAAACACCAGAAAATAAGCAACAAAATCATTTATTTTCTAATAAAATATTTTTCATGAGAATATTTTCTTCACACCAAACATAACCTAAGTCATTTGTAATTATGTTGAAAATTATAATAGCTTAGTTGGTTGGTTAGTATTTGATTCCTCACATTGTAACCTTCTCCCATATTTCTCCTTTCCCTGTCCCTATTTATTTATTTATTTATTTTATAAATAAAAAAAATCCTAAGATATATATGTTGCTTGCATTTTGCTTAACTTAACATACTCGTATGAAGTAAGTGTTATATGGATATGGTTATTTTATGTTGTTCCTTCAAAATATAATAGAATAAGCAAAAATCTGACACTTGTACTAGACATTACACACTCCTATCGAATATATATTAGATCTATAGGCTATAGCTAAGCCAATATAGTCAAACTAGTTTATGAGAGTTGAAAAAATAAGAAAGATGACGAGCATTAAAGTTTGAATTTAATTTATAAACATCGACATTTTTAAATAGTTTCACAGTATACGTTATTTATTATGTTATTTGGTGTGAATACGTACATATAATTAATTTTCAAATAACCTAATTTTATATATATTTCCCACGCCACCATGCATAAAAGTTCAATGCAAAACGTTCAAGTCAAAAGTTTCCTTCTTAAATAATAATGGCAAAATACATAAGTTGTCACGTGACCTATGGGCCAATTCCCATTACACACTTTTTGTGGACGATAATAATATTACATATGCAAGCTTTTTAAGCGTATCTAGTACACACCTTCTTTGATTAGGTCCAAGCGTGTGTAACACAAAACAGTAGAAGCGCGTGGAAAGTAGAAGTAGACAATTTCTGACTTAAATCGAAGGCTAGAAACAAATCCCAACGGCCAATTTTAAACAAATAAAAGGGCCCCCGACCCATTCCTTCTCAAATTGGGCCTGTTTTCCCCCTTCTTCTTCCTCGTCGAAAGCTCGAAAGTTGCAGAAATATTTTTCTTTTTGAAATCTTCTTATGTGATTTTCTATTGCCAATATAATCTTCTTCTTCTACTTCTTCCTTCTCTGTTTCGACATTATAATTTTTAGAGTTCAATTTTAGGGTTAGCGAAAATGCATAATCTGAGAAAATTTTGTTATTGTGGTGAAGAAGATGTGGTGACACAGTCATGGAGTGTTGATAATCCCGGACGTCAATTTTACGGATGTCCATTTTATGAGGTAAATATCAATTGTACTTTTATAAGCGATTTTATATTCCTTAATAATTTTTCTCTTCGATTTTCAGATGGACGAATGCTCGGGATGTAATTTCTTTGTGTGGTTTGATCCCCAAGCACTTGAAAATTGTGATTTTGGGGTTGCTTAAGAAGAAGAGGGCGTTCGATGCATTATTGAAGGAAAATAGGAATCAAAGAAATTGGAAGAGATTGTGTGTTGATTTTAATTGTAATTGTATTGAAGTTGTTTATGTTTGGTAGTTCTAAAGATTGCTATATTATGTAAGACAATGAATGAAGCTTTTTGGTGGATTCCTTTGTTAGAAATGAATGAAATTTTTTATAATTGTTAATGTTGTTTGGTTTGTGATTGTTGCTATGTGAGCTGAAAATGCAGATAATACACTGCTTACACAGTTAAATGGTGGCTGAAATTGTTGTTTAAAATACAGATCAAATGCTAAAATACTGAAGTTGTAATACTAAAGAGATGAATCTGCCCAGAAATTTTTAGTTTAAAACACATAAAACCATAAAGTAAAGGTGTTTATTACAGTCATCTAATAGCAGCATGCCTTAACAAAAATAAGTACATCTTAACATCATACCAAAATAACAACAATCTGCCTTAATAAAATAACAACATTCAATACACCACTTAACAACAGTTCCAAAATAACTTAACAGCAGTTCCAAAATAACTTAATAGTGTTTCACAATAACAACATTCAATACACAACTACATATAGTTGTTCTTGGATGGCTGGGATGATGAACTTGCTTGACTTAGGTTGGAATGGGATGCAGCAGTTCTTTCAAATTTTCTTCTAGTAATGGCTGGACTACCATTCCATTTTACTCCACTTGTTGGCTTGTAGGCACATTCATGAATATATGTTGAGGGCCTCCTTTCACCACCATGAGAAATCACTCTTGGTTTACCTCCACCAAACTGCAAACAAGTAAAGTATTTAGTATAGTAGTTTAACCAAACAAGACATAAACTTAAGTTTGCAGTACTTATAAAAAAAACTTGTGAACCCACTGCTTGATTGAAACAGTCCAATCCCAGAACTTTTAGTTCCTCTTCCACTACCTCTACCAGTTCCTCTTCCTCTTCTAGAGGCAAAAGCAATTGAAGCTTAACGTGTATTACTTCCTCTACCTCTACCAGTTCCTCTTCATTTGCCAGTAGTAGCATAGGCAGAAGTAGTTGAAGCTGAAGGTGTTGGAGCAGTTGTTCCTCTTCCTTTTCCTCCCATGCTTTCTCTATAAGAAGCATTTGCAAGAGTGGAGTTTGCAGGCCTTGGTTCTTGGGGAAATTGCTTTTGTTGAGTCTATAGCCACCACATGTTTGAACATGTTGTCACACCTTCTTTTTCCGTCCCCGCGGGGGGTGAAAGAGTTTTTTCCAATTAAAGGACAATCGAAACGGGATTTGTTTGTTTATTTCATAGTCGCCACTTGGGAGATTTAGAGTGTCCCAAGTCACCAATTTTAATCCCGAATCGAGGAAAAGAATGACTCTGTATTACAGTCCGCGAACCAAAAATCCGGATAAGGAATTCTGTTAACCCGGGAGAAGGTGTTAGGCATTCCCGAGTTCCGTGGTTCTAGCACGGTCGCTCAACTGTTATATTCGGCTTGATTATCTGATATAATACATATTATAACTTATGTGCAAATTTTATCCTTTAGCCGCTTTTATTATTATATTTTAAAAGAATACGAACATCGTTTAAAAACATGTCTTTGGATTGTGTCACATGAAATGCACCCGCGATCCGGAACGCATTTTTA